GGAAAAACTTTGTGATTCAAAACAATACGACAAAAGATGTGTAAGGGAGCTTTGCAAATGAAGGGGGATGGGTGTCTTGTTAAGGCATCTATTTATTAAATATCAGAACAGAAAAATAACTTCTGTTTTAAGTCATTTATTTTTATTTGATAAGTTAGTTCCAGATTGGGTAGGACAGTAAAAGACATGTCTTTTATGTTAGGGTGGCTAATGAGAGTGAGAATGACAACTGAAGAACAATGAGGATAAGTACGAGAGTTAGGACTACAAAATTCATATTTAGCATAGTTGTGTGAATGCTTGTGTTTGAGACACTGGATATGCAGTTAATTGTACTGCAAGTAAATCACCAATACTTCAGTAATGCCACACAGACACAGGAAGCAATGTCATCCCTTTAGTAAGGAGTTGTCTTTGGGATGCCGAGTTGTCTAAAAACAAAAGAAAAACACAGCAATGCTGAATGATCCAAGCTGATCTGTCAGGAGCAACACATCGTGGCCATGTGCTCATCTCGTGGTCTGCAAATGTGTTAATGTGCTGATATCTGTAAGTTCAGAGAATTTAAGTGTTGATGCAGAACGCGCCGGCATCTGGCAGTTCCAGCTTCCTTGCAGAGAGCTTTATCTTCCTGTTTCATCTTTAAATTCAGAAACACAATTGTGCAGCCTTCTGTCTGACTGTAGTCGATGTGGCAATACCACGTACAATACAGCACAGAAGAGCATCCCACTTCTGCGAACCTGAATACAGAATCTAGGCGATTTGTGGGGCAGTAGACATCAGACTTTAATTAATGCTGAAATTTCTTAGTGTGTAAAGAGTGACAAGATTCCAAAATAAAGCCACAGACTTTGCTTTTATCTTTTTGAACTTGACTGGACGTAGCTGCAATGGAAAGAGGCAATGTTCAGATGAAACTACATTCAGCATCTTCCCTGACATAGGTGGCCAGATTTATGGTGCTTACCTAAATGTGGAGATAAAACCGCGGATTTCATTGACGATATTTTGATTTTAGCCACATGTAGTAGATATTAGACTGGGACCAAACATTTCTAAAATAGGCTGTCTATGCTGCTGGAGTAGCATGCCAGCAACATCGGGCAACCAGCTGTCCTTCTGGCAGTGGGGAATGGGAGCAGACCAAGGAGGTCTTCACGGGCAAGTTAGAGAGAGATGATTACGGAGGAGAAGGGGGTCATCCAGCCTCTGGGGTGAACTTGATACTCTGAGCAACAACTCATGAAAGCACTTGACCTGGAAAAACAAGGTGGATAAAGGGAGGACTGCTCTCAAACCGGTGTCTCGCAGCGGCTCCCTCCGTATAGCTCCAGTGATATTTTAAAGATGAAGAGTGTGCTAAGGAGGGAGGATTCCTAGTGTCTCATTTCTGTTATCTCAGTATAGCGCCAGTGGTATTATCAAGACAAATAGTATGCCAAAACTTAAAAGTGAACATATGTTTATGGGGGTGGTGGGGAATACAGAGGTCACTGTTGTTTCTTTCTAGTCAGAGAAGACATAATGGGGCCTGGTTTAGATAAATTAAGATTTGGAGCTAAGCTCATGTCAAGACTATGCTAGTGTAATTATAAGTTGACTTCTTTCAGGGTCCCTGAAGTTTTTAGAGTCAAATAAAAATGTTCAGCAAGAGTTTTATAATGTAGTTCAACTGCTTTAATGTGAGCTGATTGGAGCTCGTCGTTGTTGGCTCCTGAACCAATTTTACTTTGATTTGGAAAATTTTCAGTGAGCTTCCAAATACTTACTTCCATGTCATTTCAGTGCTCTGTTTCCTCTGTTTCTGGACTTCATTTATATTTCGCTATTTTTGGTGTCTTTTTCATCCCATATTTCCTTATTTCCTTATGCAGCTGGAAGCTGGCATACTTAATTATTTTTTTATTCCAGTTAAAGTTGTCATGGTGCTTTTTCCAAATTTTATTTTAATACATAAAATAGTTTTGTTCATTTTTAATAGAACTTTAAATCGAACAGATTGATTGATTTTTTTTTTTTTTTTTTTTTTAGCAACTAAAACATAAAATAATCTTTCTGCCTGTGGGATTGTTTGGAATTCTGGTTCTGAATTGGGGGGGGGGGGGGGGATGAAAGTTCCTGCAATTTACAAACTGCTTCTGCAAAAAGTCTCTGATCTCCTTGGAAGGTGGTGTTTCAATTCTGTTTTATATTTTAATCACTATGTAACTGGTAAGGAGTGAATAAACCACACCTTTTGTAATACTTAGGGAAACTATAAGTACAAATGCCCTTTATTAAAATGTGAAAAAAAAGCTGTAATAGGAAATCCATCCTACTATTTCACAGAAATGTAAGCATTTTAAATGCTTTGGTTTTCGTAGAAGGGGCAAATGAATTTTTCAAAATACAGTACAGAATCAGTTCTGTAATGCTAATTGTATTTAATAATAGTAATTTAAATTTGGCTGTACTCTGCTGAGCAGCAGCGAGAGAAAATTGTATGTGGGAACGTTAAAGTCCAGAAGTCTAACATATGGTGTGCTTTGGCCTTCAAAGTCTGTCTTTATGTACCCACGAAATATCTCAACTGCAAAAGTCTTTCTGATGGCTGCCCCCTCCTTTCTCGCCCGTTCACAAACGGTGTCTGATACTCCCAAGCATTGATTTACACTACCCGGTGCCTCTCTGCCTTTGGCAGTTTGTTCCAGATTCTAATTTCAAATACTCTTTGTGTGAAAATGTTCTAACCGAATTACTTATGTTCTCATTCCCTAATGAGCATCAGTCCATCTGTGATTGCTTGAATTAAACTTAATAAATGGGTTATTCACAACCATCAATCCCTCGCTCTCCAGCACGTCATATGCCCAGTGAGATTCCAGTGCCTTTCCATAGCCTTTCTTGGTAAACTCTAAAAGACAAGTATGGCCAGCATTTCCTGAGAATTTGTATCTGCTCTCCACATCCTTCATCATTTTGGCCTCTGCTGCTTGTTTATCATCTCTCCAATACCCCCCCCCCCTTCCTTTTTTTTAATTGATAAGAATAAGTTGCAAATAGGTCAGGTTTCAGTTACGCTACACCTCCACCAAGCTACATAAATTAATCCAGATTTTGGGGGGTTGTCAAAAAAAAAAAAAAGGGAATTTAATTTGTTTCTCTAAATACCATCTTGTATTGTGTTATGATAACTTGTCTCTTCACAACCTCTCGCCATATCTCTCAAGATTTCATTGCTGCTGCCAAACGCTGTGCAGATGCTTTCAGCGTCCTTATATTCCTCCTTGACCCCTCAAGTCTTTTCTTCGTTTATACGTTGTGCATTGTGATTCTGTGTAATTTCTACAATTGTCCTTGTCCTTTGGTTTTCTGGCCTTAATCCTCTCCGTAATGATCTCTACAAGTCACTTATCAGCCATAAGACTAATCTATACAAATCACGTGGCGTTCCCGCGCTCTGCTCCTGTGCACTTTGCGTCCGACTCCCTCCATTATTTTAATCATCTACATCGTAGGATTTCCCCCCGCCCCCAGTCCTTCCCTTTGCAAAGTCATTTTCGTACAAAGTAAACAGAAGTGGCACCAAATCTGACCCCGCAGCACCCTCCGGCTTATCTCTCCTCCTCCCTGCACCGCTTCCTTTCCCTGGCACCCTCTGCTTCCTGCGCCACCGCGCTCTGCAAACCCCTGCAGCCCTCTGGGTTTGTAGCACGCTCTCCAATTCTGCAGATCTCCCTCCTGTAGAATAAAATATCAGATACTTTCCTGAAATACAGATACAGTAAACTCTGTCCATTGTTTCTGCCTTATCTACCAAATCAATAATGTGGTGAAAGAATTCAAGGACGTTTTTCAGACAGGACCTTCCTTTTTTAGCACATGTTGACGTACACATCTTTAAATGGTTTCATAATATGAACTGCTTTTCAGATACACAGAAGAATTGGTATCGGGCCTTTGTATCCGTAGCTTTTCAGAGCCTTCCTTGCTTTTTACTAAAATACGGGAACGATAATCTCCATACTTTTAGTTTCCTGATTTCGGTAAGCTGCCGCAGAACTGTGTCAGGCTTTCCTGTTTCCCCTTCTGTCTCTTTCTGCTTTGGAGTGTTAATTCAATGGACCTGGTCTTTGGTCGGTTTGGTTGGTTTTTGTCAATATTTAGTGATTGTAAATCCTCTGTTTTCTAGTACATTAGGAGAATACATGTTTACCAAAAAAAGTCGCAGTGGAGTAAGTGTTCTGTTCTCAGAGCCATAAAAGCTGCCTTTCCTTGTAAAATGAAGTTTTAGATGAAAATACAGATTTAGGAGAAAATAACATATTGTGTGAGGTAGTATTTTCCCTCACCTGGGCAGACAGCTTCTTAGATTAGTATTGCGTGTGTGACAAAATATGAAGAGAAGCTAGTCAGGGGAGCCTGGCTTGAGCTCATGAGTGCAAGACAGTATAGACTCTATGAGTCTGTGCCTGAGCTTTATCAGAAAACTTACTTGCATGTAGAAAATTCACAGTTGTTTAGTGTTAAGTATCACAGGGTGCCCAACAAGTACATCTTTTCATCCTCTCGTAGGCTTAGTGGAAATAAGAGAAAAATGTATTTGCCACAATAAAGGCAGAGCGTGACATCAGAAGTGCACGCAGTTCCCATTTGTTGTGTTAGATCTTAATAAGTGGTAAAGGAAAAGGAAAACTGTTGTTGAGGAGAGAACCTGTCTGGCAAATACCATGCTTTTTCTAAAGGTTTAAAGTAAAGAATCACAATAGACAGCAGTGTTCATAAAAATATTGATACTTGCTATTGTGCTGAAACAGGACTTTAAATTATATTCAGTACAAACATACCAGAAATATCCTTACAAAGCTGCTTCTATAGCAGCTGTACACAGGAGACTCAGGTTCCCTTTTTATGTATTAACTAGTTTTATATGAAATATATTAATTTATTTTTGTAGCTCTGAGTGTAAGAGTTGTATTGGAACCCATCTAAAAGCCTTTTCTCATCACCCATTTTAGATTGACGCATTGGGTAAAAGAAGCAAAGAAGCAGAGGCAGCCTTCTTGAATGTTTATAAGAGATTAATTGATGTTCCAGGTAAGTGAATTATTTCCTTATTCTGAAAATCTGATGTTTTATGTTCATGTGAACGCTACTGGGCATTTTTTCTACCTTTGATAAGGTAAACATGAGCAATGGTTCTATTCTGAAACTGATAACGCTCCAGTATTGTTTCTAATCAAAAGAACTATAACTAAGGCACATTTCATGACTTCTCTTAAAACTGTTCATTGCATTTACATTTTAATGTTTGTATGAGTCATTGTATGTTATTACAATATTGTGTAATTCTCAGTAATTTGTTTTATTAGAGAGTTCAGATATTTTTAACAAAAAAGATACATCTTGAAGCTTCATCAAGAAGCAGCAATATTTGTACTTATAAAGGACAAAGAAAATTTTTCATACTTCCCAAATTAAAAAAAAAGCCTTACTGAAAAGTAAATCACTACCAAATTTCAATTGTGTTCAGTGTAAGTGTGATCATAAATTTTATTCAAAGGCCTTTACTGTATGTGTTTTCAACTTTCCTTTATGTTTGGCATCAGAAGTTTCCAGTTCATTTCTTTTTACTTTTTTGAAGGTTGATTTTTTTGTTTTCCCCAATGGTAGATAAATACTGTCTGAATAGATTTTTCTTTTTGCTACTGTACCCAAAGATGAGAAGGAGTTAGGAGTCCAAGTCTCTACTTCTAAGTCTTGGCCTGACTGAGCTGTTGGCATATGACAGTGTGTGTGTATGATTTTATACTTTTATAAAATGTTGACATTATATATAGTATTCAGAATACTTACCTCAAGAGAGGTTTTGAGGGCATAATTAATACTTCTAAGGGCTTTTAAGGCTTCATTGCAAAGTGCACCCTAGTCTTTACTTGTTTTACCTTTTAAGGAGTACATTTCATGCACACTTCAAATAAAAATTAATTTTTTTAATGTTTCGTTTACACCTTAGCTGGTTAAAAGGTCAGGGGTTTTCAGATGCTTAGTCAGAACTAACATACATCTTTTTTTATGCTTTCACATCTATAGTCTGAGTAGTGCCCAGTGGCGAGTACCTGCTGTATTAAGTGCAGCATACGTAGAGAGATGCAAGGACTTACCATGCTCACAGTTGCCTCAGAAATGTTGGGGTTTAGGTTAATCAGCTATGGTCTGTGAGTTTTCGTTTACTTGTTTCCTGCTCATAATCTTAGTTAACATTCCATAGGTGAACAGCTTCCTTTGCACATCTGCTCGTGCCGTGGGAGGAGGCGGGTAACTCAGAGGGGCTCCAGACTGTTCTTAAAGGGTGCAAGCAGTTTGCACTGGCACGAGCAGCATGGGCATGGGTTGGGCTCTCACAGCTCTGTTCTGTAAAGGAAACCCCTCCATGAAAATGTACCCAACATACCTGCAAGTCCACCATTCAGTGCTAAGGAGAGAAGCTGTAGCCCCTCCATCTCCATACGAATGCAGCCCAGGGTGCTTGTTTCCTGCCACAATTTGGGAGGCAAGTAGGTTTGATTTCTAATGGTCTGGTTTTTTTCACAACTGAGTAGTTGTGTCAAACAAGAGCTGTGTGGGATCCTTTGCATGCTCTTGTGCAGAGGCTTTTTTATGAAGCCTGGCATTATCACAGGTGCTGGGGTTTGAACAGCAGAGTCAGACCAAAGCCTGACGGAGAAGGTAGGACATACATCCCACCTGTGCTGTAGGATCTAAATGGTGAGGGACTTTGTCAGTACTTCTTTGTAGGAGAAAGAATTTTCTCCCTTCCTTCATTTGCCAGAGCAAAATTTACACCCCTTCTTCCACACTCCGTAATCTCTCTCTTGTCCAGCCTTCCCTTGCGTGTGCCTTATGTTATGTGTCAGAGAACTATTTCTTTGATATTCTTACTACATGTAAAATTCCAGCCTGGCTATGTTGCGAGTGCGAGTCTCGGAGTCTGTGGGATTGGAACTATTTACAGGTTTTAGTCCCATGCTCTATCTGCAGGCCTGAGAGGCACACGAGGGGTGTACTGATGTTGCTAAAAGCAAATTCCAGGTTCTCACGGAGAAGTCCGGCCGGTCTCCTGTAGCTGTATGCAGGCGTAACAAATACTCACCGTTTACAACTCATACTGCAATGAAAAGGGAAACAGTCGTTAGGAATGTATGGCACTGGTATTCGTCACGATGCGGTAGGGCTGAGTTAGGCGTATGCAGTTAGGGGCTTGCTTCACTGTATTGGCTTTTTTAATTTACTTCTCATTGTATGTAGTCTTTTACTTTGTGTATGTATCCATAGAGGGCTTTCCTTTATAAAAGACCATCAGTATTCATTTATCACATGTGTTGTTTTGCCTCTGTGGCTTTATGTATCTTTTGACCTGTCCAGTTGGTATTTCAAATATTTAGGTATACTTTTAGCTCCAAAATCCTGCTATGTTTTCTTTTCGATGTGAGAAGGGAGCTATGATGTTTTGAGAAAGCTATGACTGGAATGCTGCGGAGTGGTTATTTAGCATTAAGCATCACTGTTACATGACAAGGGTGCAATTTTATCAGACTTTCAATATCCTTTATAGGACCATATAATAATTGCAGCTGAAGTCTAATTCCCAGCAGCCAATTTTATGGTTCTTGAGGAAAGCACATATTCCTCTCCTCAGTAATAATGTGCACACTTTATATAATTAAAAAGGGCTTCTATTTTAATTTTACTATAAAATGATCTGTATTGAAACTCCAGCTACGGTGCTTTATGGATTCAGCTAAATTTAATGATTTTCTTTCCTGACTTGACCAGAGTTTTCACTCAGGCTCAGCAGTAAGAAATTTGTGGGAAGGGTGGTATTTTACTTGTAAATTTTCCTATACACATCAGGGATTTTCTCTTGAAAAGATAAAACAGACCTTTTCATATCTCTCTCCAGCTTTATGATACTGTTAAAACAGCATTATCATTGGTTTGTGCTGCAAAATTTATCCTTTCTAAAGGAAAGTACATGTCAAAGAAAACATTTTGTTTTATGTACGTTTATACAGCTGTAATTCTCACTCAGATCATTCTGTCTTGCTTGAGACTGAACATTTTTAATTAATGGAATTAATTTTCTCATTTAATTGCCTTATTTTCAGTATGCAGTAGAGAGCTAGAGAAAAGTGAATGCTGCCACATGAATTGCACTAATCAACAAGGTTGTCACAACTTACCTTTAAAAATAATGTGAATATATTTATTTTGAAGGGAGGTGGGGTGTGTGTTTTGAGGAAGCTTTCTTCCATCCGTTCAAGATTCCTTTCTCTTCAGTTTTATAAAATCAGTGTATTATGTTGGCACCCTTGGCTTTTAGGGTCTTAATCTTGCAAACACTTCAAGTGAAATTGGAGCCCTGTTGTGCAAGTGTTTGGAGGAGCGCTGTTGCCTTGCAGAAACAGTATATTCATAATTCTGTTTTTCTAAAGCTTTGAAAGAAAAATATTAAGCATTAAAATACAAAAAATTAAATATTTTTTCCTTTAAAAAGGAGCAATGTTCATTACTTAATTTTTTTTTAAACAAAACTTCACTGTAATTTTCAAGTGAAAGTTAAAATGTGGAGACCCAGAGTGAATGCCAGATGACAGTATCTGGATAAACTGGTTAAATAGAGTGTCTTTTTATGCTGTGTCTTTATTACTGTGCAGTTACTGCACAATGCCACAGTTGGATTTGCTTAGTTTTCAGTATTGCTCCTGTTAAGCACGACTCTTACATAGGCAAAGAAGAAACAATTCTGCCTTTAAACAGAAAATCCGCTATCTTGATGTGGCCACGATTAAAACAAATTTGCGTTCGGTGGCTGTTTTCCTATAAAAGCTGATTGTATATCTTTTGCAATACTGCCAAGAGTTTGCCACCAAAGGGGAGTACCTGAAAAGCTTGCCTCCTTCCCAGTTCTCTCTCTACTCCAGGGGAGAATTCGTGTGCCCGGGCCATGGGTGCAGCAGTGCCAGCCCCGGCCGTGCTCGGGCACCCCACGCGCTGCTCTGCTGAAACATAGTCCTAACCCTCGCCCCCTCCTCCGTAACGCCTTTCCGCTTAAGGCACAGTATTGCATCTCAGTTATACCCTGTACAAATATAATAGGAAAAAGTGTTGCGCTTTTTCAGTATATACACATTTGAGAATCGGGGCAGGTTAATGCAAAGTATTTGCTCTTAGTTTGGTGGGGACTGTGCAGCCTTCTAGGGTTGAGCCATAAACGGTATTCGTTTCTGCTTAATGGGAATTTTCTCATCAAGAAACTAAATGACTCTTACAGTGTAAAAGGGGATGTATGTGTGTGTTTCATTGGAAACTCTTCACAGGTCTGTGTTGTGATCAGATTTGCTGTAAGTTTGGAGCTATATAATGTGCATGACGTGGTTTTTAGCTCAGAGGACCCACTATCTAAGGAAAGTATAAAATAAGAGGCTAAAAAAAAGAAAAAAACATTTTAAAGCAATAACGGTGAAAGATGGCTGAAGTGGAAATTTTATCTTTCCCTTACTCCTTGCCATCATAAATTGCACGCCCTGCCATGGGGGCTGTATCTTACTAAGAGGTTTGGAGGAGAAACAAGCTAGTTCCAAGGGAGTTTTCCACACACCCATCATTACATGTAGTATTTTTGTTTACATATAATCACAGTTCAGCCTTGCAAATGCAAACTGCCCTGCATTCAGGCATTGGAACAGGCTGCCCAGGGAAGTGGTGGAGTCACCATCCCTGGAGGTGTTCCAAAAGCGCGTAGACAAGGCACTTCAGGACATGGTTTAGTGGGCATGGCTGACAGTTGGACTTGATGATCTTAACGGTCTTTTCCAACCTAAACAATTCTATGATTCTATAGGGCTTTCTTTTTCCAAGGAATTATTTAGCTGAGGAAACACACACTTCTTTTAAAATAAGTAATCAGTAAAACACAAAGTGTTAGGGAATTAGTTCTAAAGGCAGAAATGAAAATTTGTTTCTTGCCCATAAAGAGAGCTTCATTCCTTCACCACAGAGCCCATGCTAGCAGCAGTGTGAGATGCAGTGCTTAC